GGTACTGGGATTACAGGCATGAGCTACCACACCCAGTTAGGACTCTCATTGTTTTGGGATAGAGTAGAGCCCTGTCATGGGAATGGTCCTTCTCTCCTTTGCTTTGAAACTGTCATCGTGTTGCCTGGCTGTCGCACCCTAAGTCCTTTGCCGCCTTGTCTCATAAGATGGGGCGGGGGTTGCGCATTCAGGGTGGTTCCGGCCTAGACTGTAGCCCTGTCTGCTGCAGTTCCTTGGCATGTAGCGCATGACTGACAAATTCAGCCAGCTTCGACCCCCAGGCCAGGATGCACCTCTGCCTTGCCGCTGTGATGCTTCTGCCTAGCTCTATCCTGGCAGTGTTGTCTTTGGAATTCTGTCCTTCTTTCCAGATTTGTCTCAGAAGCCACTTCTCTCTTGGCATCTTTCCCTATCTCCTTAATCTGTCCACTATTATTTTTTCCTTATTTTGAACTGTTGAAATATACTGGTATCCTTGATCAATCCACTTTTAACATATTTTCTAGTTCTCATAGTCTGGTCTCATATTCTCATATTAAAAATGCTCATTTCCTTGAAGAAGAAAGCTATGCTGCCCACATTTTTGAGTCTCCTACACCCACCAACCACAAGACAGTATCAGTTTGGAGAGAAGCCAGAGGGAAGACAGTAAGGGTGGTTTGTTGGGAAGACACCAGTGTCAATGCAACAGGCTTGTAGGGATTAGCTTCTCGGAAGCCACTCAAATATGGGCAGTTGGATTATAGTTTTCTAGGCAAGAGCTTTATTTCATGCAGGAAGAAAACTTTGAGAAACTTAATAAACCATCTCCGTGCAGAATTTGCAGGGTGTAGGAAGCCACTGCAAGAATTATCAGCAATGACTTGACTTGCTAGTTACAAACTGGTTAGTTTAATCCAAGGTCTACTAGTGGTTTGTGATAGAATCCTGAACACATCTGTTTCTGAATTTACCATACGAAGGAGGGATTCTTACTTGTCATTTTTGGCAGTCCGACCAAAGATTTATGCCTGTTTTAACTTCAAGCTGGAAAAAAAAAGCAGCCTCATTCATTCATTCATTTGTTTAACAGATAGGAAGCACCTGCCACACACCAAGAAGATACAACAGGGAAGAAAACAGCCAAAGACCCTGAGCTCAGACACATGCTATCACAAGTACATACTCAGTTGGCCCATTGTATTTGTAGGCTTTTCATCAGGGGATGCAAACCAAACAGGTTAAAATATTTTAAAAACTCCATGTGTGCTGAACATGTGCAGCCTGTTTTGGGGGTCATCATTCCTTAAATAATACAGTGTAACAGGTATTTCCTTAACACTTACATTGTATTCGGTATTATAATAATCTAGAGGAGATTTAAAGCATCTGAGGATGTGCATAGGTTATAATTGAATACAACACCATTTTATATAAGGGGCAAGAGGGTCCAGATTTTGGCGTCCTTGGGGGGCTTGGAACTAATCCCCTCAGATATCTAGGGAGAGGTGTGCATGTGCAACATTAGGGAGTGATAAATGCTCCAAAGAAAGAGAAACACAGGTAAGAAGACAAAGTAACAGTGACAAACCAGTGTCTAAGGAAGCCACATATGAAAGGGTGGCGTTTGAGAAGATACCTGGAAGAAGTTAAATGTGTCACTGGGGAAGCTCCATGGTACATGCAGAGAGGAGTTGAGTCATACAAATTCATTAGCTTCACCACCCTGGGCAAAATAATACATCCCGGAAGACTCTGTTTCTATGGTTTAAATTAAGGCTAATGTGGGCTACCTGGCTGGGTGCTTGTGCAGATTAAATACAATAATGCACCGAAACTGCTCAGCATGGAGCAGAGAGTACTGTGTGGGTGGCAGTTTTCCGTAATAGTTGTTGCTTCTTTATGTAGCCTGGGTGGGCAGGCTGGAGATTATTCCTCTCTTCCCCAGGAGCCCTTCCATCCTTCCATCTCTGAGTGGGAGAAACCACCAATCCTTGTTCCCTCCTCAAAAAAAATGCAAGAGGCCAGGTGAGGTGAGATGGCAACTGCAAGAATTTGTTGAAGCATTTGACAAAATCCAACATGCACTTATGATAAAAACCCTACAAAAAATTGGAATAGATGGTCTCTACCTCAAACTGATAGAAGCCATCTAGGAAAACCCAACAGCCAATATCATACTAAATGGTCAAAAACTGAAATCCTTCACACTAAAATCAGGAACAAGACAAGGAGGTCCACTATCACCACTC